ACATGCTGTAAATTAAATATTTTATTTCTTCCAAAAACTGAGAGGACTCCAGTTTGGACACTTAGAGCAAAATGAGCCCAGACATCTGTTCTTTTTTCTGCCCAGTGTGTACTTGAGCTGGGGCACATGTGGAATCCTGCTAAAATGAGATTATAAATTAATGGCCCTTCACACTTCATTGCTTGAATGAGCCAGAAGTTATTTTCTTCTGTTTTTGAGTGCCAGGTGCAGCACTTTCTGACTAACAAATATGATTCTCTAAAAGGGAAGAAAGACCAATGATTTGAAACTACAACAGCCTCTTCTCTGTGGTCTGAGTACAGACATGTAATAGAGAAAAGGAAAGCACATTAACTGACAGGGTGGAGGAAAGGGATCCTGTCCAGAAATATGATGTTGGTGAAGAAGTGGTTTGTGATTTGGGCAACACCTTCCATTTCTGGTCTTTGCTTCTGCCTTTGTGTGGAAGCCTAAGCAGGTCATTTGCATACATGCCCCAAACAGATGACCCATTTATTTGAATTTTGGTACCCAAATTGAGTTGCTGTGTGACTGATATTTCATTGCTGTTTAGTCTGGTTTAGGGTATTAAAAAAGGGAAAGATATCTACTTTCACAAAAACTTAGTGAGATGAAGCTGGATGTTACAGTCCCTCTGCCTGGACCAGCACAGTCTTTGTTCTCAGAGGCTGATCCACTCTAGCCCTTCAAAGAGGGCTGACAGATCTCTAGTCCCTCACTGTTATTGAAGTGTACCTCTGATCTATCTTGCTGAAGGTCCCTAAAAATGAGCATAGTTTCAATATTAAAGAAACACTTAAACATTTTACCCTCATCCCCTCTAATGACATTCCATAGATGGCTGAGCATGGTAGGGTAGCATGAAAAGTGGTTGGGCAAGGTTCACTAACTCTATAATTTTCTAATTTATAAATTGTCTTGAACATTAATTTTAATGTGTAATGGTATTTGAAGGATATATTAGAATAAGAAAACATTATGATTATCCCAAGGATAGGGGAAAATCTTTCCTGCTTACTAAGTATTAGAATAGAAGTCATCTACTTCCTTTGTTTTTCAGTTGAAAGCTTTCTATGGACTGGGGAAAGTCCAAATGCAGATTGTCTGAACAAGACAAGATGTCTGTACTGCTGGATCTTAAAGAGACAGCAAAAGCTCTTTATTATTTTTTTAAGGAAACACCCTAGTTGTCATAGAAATCTCATTAGTTTTTCATATTTTTGTTAGGAATTGTCTTTGGTTAAGTGTATGTAAGTGTTGATGTCTGTGTCAGTGCTGAAAAGTTAATTTTCCACATTAAGTTGTTTACCTTCATAATAAAGAAATAAAAAATGTGAGTCGAGAGGGGAGAACAGAAAAAGATGTTAATGTGTAACATTTCTAGTTCTTGTAGTTTGAACTATGCAAGTTCAGACATCTCAAGTGGAACACCTCAGCATTACTAGAAAGGTACTTTCCTGGTATGTAACAGCTCTTACAATTGAGAATTTATTCATATGATTCAGGAAAAGACATTGCCTGTTCTTGGAAGGCAAGGATGGAAAATTTCTGTTTGGAGTTCTTAAAAATTATGATCAAATAAAAAAGATGTTAGAAACTCATCTAGAAATCAATTATAGAATACTTACATGATTTAAAACCAGCTATTTTTTCTGCATATGCTATAAATTCCTGGTGGAATGAAGTATTAACATTTTTCACAGAAGTGAAAATTGATAGATGTTTCTTTCAAGCAAAGAAGATCAAATGCTGCCCACACCATAATTACACAGAACTTGTAATTATGTGTTCTGCAACTCAGCTCACTTATTACCCAGGATCTTCCATAACTGCATGTTGCTATATACAAATGGTAAACTCAAGACTTGACACCTCAGACCTGATTTGCAGGTGAGGATTTCTCATTTACCTGGCAATCTGTCACAGCCAGAACTGGCTTCTGAATTAGCATGTGATAGAAAGTACTGATTTTGTGATGAAAGATTTCAATCCTGATTTTGTAAAGTAGCCCCCAGAGCTCCCAAGCTGAGAGCAAAATTTATGCTGAGTTTGATCTGGGATGAATTTCTAATCACATTAGCTATAAAGGCAGCCTTTTAATTTCATGGTCCTTGGGAAAATGAAACTTGGGTAGACTGAAAGCATTATGAGAAAACTTCTGCATTAACATCTGATACTGTAAGTCTTGGAATATCTACACTGAGGTGATGAAGCTGTAATTACATTTCTTTCTGAGATATGCTTCCAAATTTTGGATGTTTGTAATTGAGTTATAGCCTATATGCTGGGTTTTGCTGGATACAGTTATATGTACCAATCTTATTTGCACAGCAAGACAGTGTGTTTGGAAGGGCCTTAAGTTCCAGGATTCTTGTGTATCTGTGGTATTAGGTTGATTATGATACCTGCACTCTCTTAAAAAGTGCTCCTGAATGTAGCATGATGTTTTTCTATAGAGTATTCTCCCTGGCATAAATGTTAGCACTGACTGAAGGAGCCCAGGACTGGAGTCAGTGGGATGTTTCAAACTGCTCTCAGGGGAAGTATCTGGAAAGTGCAGTTGTACTGGCATTCTTGAGAGTGAGCTGGTTCAGTGTTTTGGGTAATCTCAGGCTTTCAGGGTGAGAGTTTATCAACTGAGTCTGCAGTGTGGAGTGAAAAGTACAATGGTGCTTGTGCAGGAGGAAAGGCTTTAAGCAAAGCTTGAGATTTCAACATACTGTTGGGATTGCTGCAAACATGTAAACCTGTGAGAGCAGTTTGTTGCACAATCCTGGCAGCTCCAGAGAGGGTTTGGACTAGTGACTCAGTGCTCTGCTGTCCTGTGCTTTAAAGCAGCACCTCTCTTCTGATACTGTTTAGCAAGTGGGGAGGAAAATATTTCATTATTGAATTTCAGAGGTAGGGCAAGACACTAGTAGAGACTGCACCTTGGTAATTTCACCTTAACATCCAATAGTTGCTCAGAAACAATCTAGGTAGACCTGTGGCTTTAAGTGTAGGTGGGAACTAGTTTATATGGGGCTGTTATTAGGCTGTCAAAGCCAATATTGACACAGTAAACTCAAAAGAATATGGGACTTCATGAGAAGTGTAGAGCAAAAAATGTTTACTTAGGGTATCAAAACAGAATTACTATGATAAACTCTTTCCAGATAAGCCATTTTGTCTTTTTTGCCTAGACAATTTTTTTCCCCTTAGAGAACAAGCATGGTACTGGCTGGAGGGAAATGAGCCTTGCATTAAGTTGTTGGAGGTGTTTGGTGCAGAGGGCAGGGAAGCACACCCAAGCATGGCTGCAGATTGCTCCTGGTAACTCTGTCATGAGATGTCCCAGCAGAATGGGGAATAACTCTGTGTTTTAGCTCAAACAGCACTCACAGCCTTGTGGACTCAAAATCTTGTGGAAAACAAGAATATCAAGTGTTGATCTGGAATAGGAAAGGCAAAGGGCTTTTGCTGGTGGTCAGAGAGCTTAACTCCTGCCTGATGAAGCCCCGTGAAGAAACTTTCATCAAGGCAGAGACCTGAAGCTCTGGCCACTGCCAGGAGAAACACAGGATCTCAGTCTCACCGTGTCTGGCAATCATTAATTTTCTGTTTATCTGTCCTCAGTGTCTTGGTCCATTGGGAATTACCTGCTGTGTGAACATGCTGGAACAGGCCAGCTGATCTGTCTTAGGTGGATCAATGTAGACTCAATGTCTCCAGTTAAACTGGGAGTGCTGGAAACTCAGGCAGTTTTTGCAATAGCAAGTAGTACGATGTAAGAGTAACGCATTTTAGATTGGGAGTTGGTACTGAGGATATGACATTCACACTGTGCATTTAAGGAATTTTAATGCTTTGGACAATGGAATTCAAATGGCAAAATACTTTTATTATTCCAATATACAATTTGAGGATTCAAAGCTTGAATGCTCGCATCAGTAGAGGTGCAACTCTTGGCCTAAGTTCAACGTTGTTTGCCCCAATATTTTAGCAGATCAGATTCATCTATGTCAGAAACAGAAAATGTATCCTTGGTTGACTTTCTCTCTACATTTTCTCTCAAAATGATGTCCCATTAGACTAAAGTGCTTTGCAAGAAAGTCCATTCATTTTTTTACTTACCTGGTAAATTATTAAATTAAACCCAGAAGAATATTTACCTATGCTCTCAATGAATTCCTATCAATAGGAATAGGAATTTATTGGTAAAAATGCCTTCAAGCTTATCCAGTTTCTTACCAATAGAGTGGAATTCAGAAAACAATTTGCAAATTGATCAATGTTTTCCCAGCTAGTGATGGAGGGGAAAACTACATGGAATAGTAACAACCATTAGGTGAAGAACAGCAACACATTATATTAAACTGATGTCTTCTTGGTTTCACTGGCTCATAGAGAAAATTCCCTAATATTATTTCTGTGTAGTACTACAAGAGAAATAATATGTTTGAACATTAAGGATATCCTTTGAAATGGACTTGATTTGTCACAAGTTATATGAAGGCATTTCTCATCTGTTATATCTATATTTGCTTATTCAGTACTATGTTTAAATTCTACTTAAATTACTTTCAACATAGCACTTTGTTGAAAAGATCACTTAAATTAATACCTAAGTAGCAGATGAACCAATTCTGAAAATTTGACCTCAAATACAATACAAGCAAAGAGCCTTTATGTTCTGGAATAAGTTGAACTTGTACTTTTAGTAGTATCATGTTTGTCCCTTTCTGCTCTGAGAAAGAATAACATCCAGCATCTGCAGAGAGGTGCAGAAGAGACTTTCTCATCAGCTGATCTGAACCACAGCTCTTGTAAATATTCCAGGATCCTAGTCCTTAGGAAGTCCCACCCCGTGAATTAATGTTAAAGTTCACGTGATCAGGAGGTTTCAATTCTCATTTTTCCTGATTTATTAACAGAGCAACTGTCAGAGTAGAAGTGTATTAGTCATTCAATAGGGAAGTGGAAAATAATGAGAAACTTACGGCTGGTGCATTGTTTTGAATCTGCTCAGCTCATATTCTGATGCATTCTGAAAAGAGAGAAAACAGGTTTTTTAAATTAAATGGAGATCATTTTAATCAAGAGCTATTCAAGAAGTGAAATACATGATATTTTAAAAAATGAACAGAGGAAAGACCTGAGAAAACAGTTTTTAGTTCAGTAGCTACATGCTTGTCCCATCTTGGTTAATGCTTAACTTTTTGTTATTAGCCTGTTGTAACATTTCTAGAAAGCTGGTAGTACAGACTACATTGCTAAACTGGAATTTTACCAGGCATGTGGCAGATTAAATTAGGCGGGTTAATGAATCATTCAAGAAGTGATAAGCAAGCCATTTAATATGGTCACTTCATCACAGAATTTCTTTGTATTTTTTTTCACTCAAATCAGCAGATTAGTATAACAATGGCTGAGTGGAAGATACTTTAACAATTGCTGGGATATTATTAACCTCATGTTTGCTCTCTTCTTGTTGTAAAGTTCTGCATGACTTCTCAACCCATGAAGAGCTGGTGATGTAAAAGAAATAGAATTTGTAGAGTACTACCTTGGCACATAAAGTGCCCATTCTAATGCTGAACTAGCTAATGCAGGTACTGGAAAGAGTTTCCCCAAATTATTTCAATAGTTTGTGTAGCTCTGTATACCTCTCACCTCAATGCGAACAAGGAGTTCATGCAGTACTTTTGATGTTCAAGCTAGTGCACAACTTGCGAGCAAACTTCTCAAGTCAGAGTTTTAAGTCAGTCTAAATAAAACCTTTTTATATCTATGGGTTTTTCTTTAGTGCAAAATTTCTAGTGCAGTCTCTGGATTGTACTAAGACCAGGCTTGGGATTGCACACTTTCAGTCCAGAAACCTAATGCTAAAATGCCCCCTTTTCCAGCATAGATTTCAGCAGAGGATAGGTCAGGCTGAAAACGTGTCCATTTAATAGATGCAACTCTAACCCTCCATCTATTTTTGTCTTGGGAAAAGCAAATTAATGTGTGTATTTCCTGACAACACTTTCTAGGTGTACCTATCGTGGATGTGAAATCTCTGAAATAGATACTTTCCAGTGAACTCAGTGATAGTGAGTTCACTGTGGTATGACTGGTGTTTGCCCAGATCTGTTTTTTCTGAATAATGTCCCAGCCATCAGTCCCAAACCAAGTTATTTTGCCTTTTCTCTCACCATCCCATCAGCATGATAGAGGGGTTTGTATCAGGCATACAAGTGGAGACACTAATAAGTGAATGAGAGAAGATCAAGTGGAGGACATGCATATTCTCAGAGAAAACATATTTCCTCAGTCTATATTTCAATCCCAGTGAATCTCTGCATTTCTTTGACATATTTGTTGGGAAAATATGCCATTTCAGGCAGTAGAGAAGCCCCTACTTTTAATACTTAGCCTGTAATTATACTGTAACAAAAAGCAGCTGCATATCTACATGTAGTGGGTATGGTAATTAGCAGATGATCCAGCAGATCTAGAAATCACCAAATTCCTGAGGAAATTTAAAGCTGCATTGAACTGTGTGATTGCTATTCAGGCCCATTTGAGCTCCTTGGGCGTCATCAGCTGTAGCGGTGACTCACCCAATTGCCTCTGCATATCAAGGACCAGCACCAGCAGGGCCGTTTCCTCACCTCTTGCACTTTGTAAGTAAGAAGAGGAGGCAGCTATGCTTTTTGTTGCAAAGGTTTGATTCTTGTTCACTCCCTTTTCTTTGCAAAATAGGGTATTTAAACCTTTACTTGTTCGTATAAAGATTGCTGGGGTATAAGGGCTTGATGATTTCAGAGAAATATCTTGTGTAACTTTCAGTCCTTCCAAGATGCTGTTTTTTGGAATGTGCTGCCTAAGCACAGCTGCCTTTCCACACAGGCAAGTGCTGTGTGTATGGTTAGATCAGGCACTTTAAAAGCTTGCAGTGGAGCTTGGTAGAGAAGGAAGCTATGGATCTAAGCCGTTCCCTTATTGAGGAATGTTTTATTGAGAGAGTTTTAACCTATTTCTCCTCCCCAGGACAATCTTCAATGAAGGGATCAAGCAATGTGTCTCACTGCGGTTTGAGATGATTGATATCTATGAGTCCAGCTGAAAGCTTTTTCTTTTTTCCTTCTTCAGTAAAATGCATGATTGATTGAAACTAAGAGCTGCTGCTGCTCTTTAGCAGCAGAATTCTGGTCCTAGGAAAGAGTACAAAAATATCTTGCAAACCTCAACACTTTTGAAATTACATGGTAACTTCTGTAGGAAGATGACTAATGCTTCCAGGTTTTAATTAACCATTGCTTCTGTTGTTGCTCATGATATATGTTGTTAGTGATTCATATTGACATGAATGGAATAAGTTGCAAATGAGTATGTGTGATAAAGAAGTAGTTAAAGTCGTTTTTTTCCTGGAGGGATTTGTGTTGTCAAATATACAATGAGGAAATAAAGGGACAGATTGTTCTTAAGGGTTTTTTTTGTTTGTTTTCTTTTTTTTTTTTTTTGGTTTGGTTGGTTTTTTGTGTGTTTGGTTTGGGTTTTTTTTGGGTTTTTATGTTTACAATTTTATATTAAAGCATAATTATAATTTAGAAAACATATAAATATATATAGTATTAATATATAATATTTAAAAATATATCATATTAGAAATATATAACATTAAAATATATACTATATAATTTATAATTTAGTATATAAAAAAGAGCCCATCCTGCTGTAGCTGCCTGCCACCATGGGTGCTGACAGAGGAGCTGCCTTGCATCAAAAGCAGAGAGCAGGTATGATCTGTACAGTCTGGAGCTGTGGGTGCACAGGGGGCTTTGTGGATTTTCACCTGCAGAGCTTTGGGCTGGCTCATCATGCCCATGGACTGTGCAGTGCATGCAGAGCAGTTTGGCATGTCTGAGGTGCTCTGCTTTCTGTGGAGGGAGCAGTGTGGGTGCAGGTGGCTCACGTGCTGTGGCTGGGTGGGGTTTAGGGCATTTTGCAGTTCTGGGGATGCCTGGTAGGTGGATAAGGGATGGTGAGTGTGGTAGGAAGGCAAAGGGAATGGGGCAGAACGTTGCCACACAAAATGTAGCATGTATGACACCCTCATCTGCCCCAGCCATGGCACTTCTCTAAGGAAGTCATGAACATTTCTGTCAGCAGCCATGGGCCTGGATGTGTTTCGAGTTCCTTCTTTGCCTTGGAGGTTTTCTGCCATGCTTTTACATTGCTGAGACTGTGCATGGAGATGGTTTCAACGGAGTTGCTGTCTAAAAAAGTTTTTGGATGTCTTTGGAGAAGATTGTTGATAGAGTTGATTGCATGATCCAGTGTTTTCTACTCTTTTTTGAAATTCATTGAGGTACATCTTTCCCCTTCCTTGGTTTCCATCCCTTGCTTGTAGGCAAGCACTTGTATGAGATGGTTATGGCCAGTACAGCCTCATGAAAGGTGACAGTCTTGTCATTACTTTGTAAAAATTCAGAGCTACATTCTGTAACTTAGCTCTCCAAAGCTCAGAACTGGCATTGTTGCTTTTTGTGGAGTATACATATATTTGACTGTAATAATGTATAATGAATTTGACTTCATCCCAATTTTCTTCAATGATTTTTTTTTTTTTTGCACAGGGAAGTAAACACAGATCTACTTGACAAAAAGCAATTCCATTTTGTGATAAAGTAAATGCATAATATGGAAGTTCTGTATTCAGTATGACCAAGTTTATTTTAACGCTAGCTAATGAAAACTCTTCTTAAGAAAAACACTCGCAAAGAGCCCTTGTAGGAGATAAGAGGAATGTCCAGCTATATTTTTGACTCTTGAGAGACAGAGATTTGAAGTATAAATAAAATCTATCTGCATTTAGGCAGTCAATATAACTAAAAATCTGAAAAATCATAAAATTGTAATAAGCCATATCAATGATATTGCTTATTATCTGGCATGGCAGCCTATCTGTAATTACTTTGGCATTTCTTAGTAAAAAAATGTAATGGCATTTCTTAGTAGAAGTGTCCTCATGGAATATAAAAATATCTCTGGGGAATAAAAGTAAGATTTCAGTGCTGGCCTCTAGAGACACAATCTGAGATATAGACTTTTGTCAGTGACATCTGGCAAAAACTGCCAGTGTCTCAGACCGACCAAATCATGGAATAAATGCATAGTGGAGTTTTTTTTTCTTTAATAAGGGAGAGCTGTGCCCTGAGGGGCTGGGGAAGAAGTGGAGAGAAGGTAAATAAAATGTGAGACACTTCAAATTAAAGGTCAGTTCAGAAAGAATTGCATAATAGAGAGCTGTTTCTATTGTGAATGGAGAATTACTATTTTTAAGGGAATTGGCCATTTTTAAGTGTGTAAAACTGACATCTAGTGGTAGCAATAGCACTTTGTGCAAAGTGGTTTTACAGTGAGACCAGTCTGCAGAGCAGATTAACAGATTGTAACTGTATTACATACTAAAATTGCAGTTCTTTGTACTTTAACTGGGTTTTACAGAGCATTCAAACTAAATCTTGCTTCTTTTAGTAATATCTCACTTGCATAATGCCAGGTTGTGAGTCATCTTTGTGTATGCCTGGCTTCATGCTAGAGAACTGATGAACAGTTTCATTAGAGGACAAGAGGTTGAAAGGGGCATGAGGGTTAAAAAGAAGAAGGTGACAGTAAGGGTTACAGAACTTCAGGATCAATTGGGAAACTGTTTGGAGATACCATTCTTAGACCTCCAGTGAATGAACAGAAGTCTGGCCTCCGAGCTGTGGTGCGCTTCTCAGGTGTGGCATTACTCATGAGTGTAAGCTCCTCTGGGAGAGGAAGCAGGAATTTATGGCCAAAACTGAGATCTCACCTGAATTCAGGCAAGGCGTGTGGGCTCTGAATCAATAAAGCACATAGGCATGTGCCTAAGTAATTCTCATCTTCATTTGCTAAATCATGGTTAATATATTAATTTCTAATTCACATTTTGGTTCAAAGGGCATTCAAAATATTTTGCTTTTCTCTTTTGTCTAGTTTGTGTCTTTGAAGAAAAAAATCCCTTGCTAAAAC